CGGGGTTCAAACCCCTTCTCTCCGTCATCAGCGCCGAGCTCTTCATCACCCTCTTCGTCGGCACTGACTCCACAGCTGGAAAATAGCAAGTGCCGAAGTGCTAGTGAATCAGCCTCTGCACGCGTCGGCTCACAGAACCGCAGCATCAGGGCTCTCCCCCCCTTCCGAGTTGAACCAGTCAGTGCTGCAGGCAGGGGTTACGGGGTTCAAACCCCTTCTCTCCGTCATCAGCGCCGAGCTCTTCATCACCCTCTTCGTCGGCACTGACTCCACAGCTGGAAAATAGCAAGTGCCGAAGTGCTAGTGAATCAGCCTCTGCACGCGTCGGCTCACAGAACCGCAGCATCAGGGCTCTCCCCCCCTTCCGAGTTGAACCAGTCAGTGCTGCAGGCAGGGGTTAATCATACATTGGGCACAAGGTTACTCTCATCACCAGGCCCTGAACAATTCGTTTTCTCTCCACAGCCTCGATCACCTTCTGCCTTCTCTGAGCCGCACACACGAGGTTCATGCTACCACTCTCTTGCGAAGACATTCTCAACAATATTCACCGTCACCTTGTCGTTACTGCAGATGTTCCCGATCACTATCGTACACCACATGCAGATCTCGCTCACTTAGATCGCCTACATGCTCATCTTTATCTCTATATTGTCACGATTACAGATGATGATACTCACCTGCATATTCATAGTCTCGTTACTATCGTGATCATCATCACCACCGTAGTGATTATCATAAGGAGTGACGATACTCTTCTGGGCACTCTTCCTTCTGGTCTCCACGACGTTACCGGTATCACTCTCGCAATAGCTCCAGGCTTGCCACCCCACCATGCGCTTCCACTCGATCTTCCACACCGTCTGCAAATGTGCCTCTCTCTCAAGCACAGTCAGAACCAGTACAAGTAGTGGCACCGGAACAGGCACAACCACAGGAGCAGTCCCCAGTGGACCACTCTGTTGCTTCTTCCTCTCCGGATGATGCAGTGTTCCCTGGTTACTCTTCTCCAGTAGACAATGCTCGACAATTCCAGGAGCTTTTTAAGAGTAGCAGAATACCAGGACCTGCATGTGGCGGAGGTTCAACAAAAGCAACATAAGCTTTTGAAGAACCTCCAGAAATCTCAGAAATCCAAAATGGCATTACCCTTTGACGCAATCCTAGAAATTGCTGATGCTATATGTCAAACACCTGCATCCTCTCAGCCCACTCACAAGAGGGCAGACAAGAAATATTTCGTTTCCCTGAAGGGGATGAAATTTCTGTTTATGCACCCTCAACCGAATTCATTGGTGGTGGATTCAGATTAGCAAAAATCCAAGACGCCACAATATAGGAATGCTGCTGCTGATAAAGAATCCAAACAGTTAGACCTTTTCAGACGAAAGGTTTATTCTTCCGCCACACTCATACTAAGAATGGCGAACTATATTGTTCGTCTCTCTAACCATAGGTTCAATAATTATTCTGGAACTCAGGGTGGTATTCAGTGCATGCAAGACATTCCTTCCAAGGATCTGTGGTCAGACGGTTCAAGTCTTCTCCGACAACACCACCACGGTGTACTACATCAACCGACAAGGCGGAGCCCAATCCAGATCCCTTTGTGCAGAAGCCATGAAGCTATGGAATTGGTGTATCGGTCACAGAATTACTGTTATGGCAACATACCTACCTGGCAAGGACAATTCCATTGCAGATGCCTTGAGCAGACACCTGTTTCCTCAACATGAGTGGGAACTCAATCTGGGAGTGGCTCTAGTGATATTCCAATGCTGGGGACACCCCACTATAGACTTGTTTGCCACTTCTCAATGCAAATTGTCCCAAATACTGTTGCAGAGCCATTCTGGGCCCGAGTCTCTGGGGGATGCGTTTCTGATAAGCTGGACTCATCATCTTCTCTACGCTTTTCCTCATATCCCACTTCTTCCAAGAGTGCTGGAGAAGATAATGGATGACAGGGCCACCGTGATACTGATAACTCCGTTCTGGCCCAGGCAGACGTGGTTCCCTCTTCTACTACAAATGTCTCGCTGACCACCATATCAGTTACCCAAACGACCAGATTTGCTCATGCAGCCGGGGATGTTCATGCCACAATCACAAATCAACTGAGTGCACCTCACGGCATGGCTCCTAGCTGGTTCCATAGCACAGAAGCACTTTGTTTGCAAGAGGTGAAACAAATATTACTTCACAGCAGACGTGATTCCACATGAAAGACTTACCTTTATAAGTGGTACCGGTTCCATTTGTGGTGCATAGCCAATGATTTTGATGCAATGTCCACTCCAATTCATTGCATTCTGGACTATGTCCTCCACTTACTCCGTTCTAAGTTAGGCCTTTCATCTATTAAGGTCCATCTCTCGGCGATTTCTGCATTTAGACAGTCAATTGAGGGTTTTTCAATTATGTCTCACCTGATGACTAAGCGCTTCCTGAAGGGTTTAATGCACTGACACCCTCCACACAGGAAACCACCTGCTCTGTGGGATCTTGAGTTCGTTCTGGACACTCTCACATACCCACCCTTCGAGTCTCTAGCCACATGTGACATTGGGGAATTGGCAGCTCTTTCAGCTGCTGCTCCATATACATTGTTCACCAACCAAGGGGTAATACTTCGATCTCACTCAAAATTTCTGCCGAAGGTGAATTTGGAATTCGATATCAATGAACCGATAGTACTCTCAACATTTTACCCCAAACTGCATGCAACTACTTACTAAGCCCGTCTACATACCTTAGATGTTCGCAGGGCGTTTGCCTTTTATCTGGAATGGACTCGCCCATTTCGACGATCTCAGCGGCTTTTCCTATGCTCTTACAGAAGATCCAAAGGCAAAGCATTGTCTTCACAGCGTATATCTAAAATAATCATGAAATGTATTACCACATGCTATACTTTACAAAATAAGTCCATATCTATGCCTATTACAGCTCATTCTACTAGAGCAACATCCACTTCCCTAGCTTTTCTCAAAGGAGTCTCAATCCAAGACATCGCCGCACGGCGACATGGTCTTTGGACATAACTTTTGCTAAAGATTATGCCATCAGCACTGACCTCTGCGGTGCTGCCCACAGCAGACTGATCTTGGCTCCGATCCCGTCTCCGTAGATGAGGCTACAGCTCTGTACTCACCTTAAGTGGAGCACCCACGGGGACATCACCGAAGAAGAAGAGAAAGTTACTCACCCTGTGCAGTAACGATCTTTCTTTGAGGTGTGTGTCCCTGTGGGTGCTCCATGACCCGCCCTCCTCCCCTCTTTGGAGTTTCTTCCTTATGTTTTTCAGGAGTGATCCGGTTAGGAGGAACTGGTGGGAAGCCGGACTGCGCGTAAGCTAGCAACCAGTGCAAACAGCATGCGCCCCACGCATGCGCGGTCCGGCTGGACCACAGCTGACGACTCTCCAACCTGTGGCTCTGGGATGAGCCCAACACCTCAAGGAGTAACGTCCTCTTATTGAATGTGCCACCAGATGATAATCTTTAGGTTTACTAACATACGCTCTCGCACACTACTTTTTACGTACAAGTGTTTTTTATATGCAAATGGGGAGGTCATCGTTACCAACTCATGTTTGTATGATAAGCCTCATGAAATTTGGTGATTTTTCTTAAAGCTCCCCCTGCAAATCATGCAAATAGGTGAGAATTTCAACTTCATTTAAAAAATTTTAATGAAAAGAACATTTATAACCTTTTAGAAGAAATGTTTGAAATGACACCAGTGTACTCTGCTAAAACATCAAAAAGAAAATAAAACCCCACAATTATAATTTTTTAAAATGTATCATGATTTGTAAGGCACCCATGATTTTTGAATAGTTGGGGTTGGCAACACTAAAAAGTGGTACAGACATTGGGGTACTTATAGGAGAAGGCCTCAATCCCTAACTTGCACAGGGAGCCACTGAAAATTTCAGTGGTTACACAGTTACATGTGGGGGGCCTGGTGCATGTGGGGAGCTGGCCCCCTGTGTGCACCGGCTCCCATCTATCTGTCCTGTCCTGCACTGCTGCTTGTGTATCAGAGGCAGCAATGTCAGGGGGAAGGTGGCTCGCTTGTGCCCTCCCCACGCTGCTGCCTCTAATACAGAAGCAGCAGTGTGGGAGGAGGGGGGCAGATGGCTCTGTGGGAGCTAGTGCTTGCAGTTGAGTTCTCCTGCCTGTTTCTGATACAGTCTCATTGGTTAATTGTAGACCATTACATTTTCATATCCCTAGTGGTGCCCCTCTAACTGCATTTTATTTTTTTTAGTGACCCTGTCAGGATCTTTATTCATAGGGGAGGCCCAAAAATCATTGGTCAACAACCTCCTCCTTCTCGCTCCACTGAGGGGCATCGACCATAAGCAGTCCTTTGCCTTGTTCTGCAATCTTAATCCTGGCCTGATGTTGGGAGGAGGCTCCAGAAAAAGGGGTTGGAGAGCAATATTTCCTCTGTTTTCCATCCATGTGCAGATTTCAGATTTTTTCCATCCATGGGTGAAATAATTTTTTTTTATTTACACCGAGGCGTGCAAATGTGCAGTACCTGTAAAAAAAAAAAAAAAAAAAAAAAAGATTGAGTATTAAATGAACATGGAAAGAAATCCACCCTTGAACCATGTCACTGTTGCGGCACATTAGAGAAAGTAGAGGGAGGAAACTTTAATGAGCAGGGCTGGGGTGGGGAACAATTCAGAGTAGTTAAAAGTTAGTAAAATATTGCAACAAAGTGTCAGGGGAACTTTGAGTAACAGCCCCACAAGGGCACAAGTTACAGGGAACACTACTGGACAGTGAACGCCTGCTGCATTCACTTTATAGTGGTGGCTTCAGTGGAACTGTGCTTGGCTTCCCACTCCAGATGGTGCATGAGGTCATAGTGCCAGTCAGGTTTGACCCGGCCAGTGGAGGAGTATTGGTGACAAACCTGAGTGGCATAGCAACTATGTGCACCAAGTTGTGACAAAGTGGGGGAGGTAGGCACAGCCCTGCTGTCTGATGGGATAGGCTCATTCTCCAATACTCTTTTCCTCCACATTGTGCTCATGACCTGTTTATAACCTTCACATGACCTACTCTTTAGGAAACTGAGTTACTCTATAGTCCATGTATCCTCATGGCAATTTTAGCATTTGAAGGAAATGATCACGTTTTTGCATGTTCAGGCATTATAACCTCAGAGTTTTAGGTGTGTCTTAATGTTTTTGTTATATATCCCTTTACAGTGTAGTGAGTTACACTGTCTTGTGAGCTGGCAGGGTATTTAAAGACAAATTGCTTTTATCCTAATAATTCATTGGCACATTCTGTTGCTTTCATAGGCAGTTATTCAAGGGTATTTTCAGAAAGCAGTGACATGTCTGCAACGCTGCAAAGATATGTTGACAAGACTGCCAAAACAGGTCAGTGAAATCAGACCTTTTGTGTCTTTCCAAAAGTTTAATATTAATAAGAAAGAAAGCATCTTTTCAAGGAGCTACTGATGTCTCAGAGAATTCCAAAAAATATTCATGAAGACAATTCTCTCTCTTCTGTGTCTTAATTTTGCTTGTTCTTTTGTACTAAGCACATTTGTTTCTTCAGAGTTCACCTGCTCTTGCTATTAATGTTTTATTAAAATAGACAGTCTACAGATAATCATGACAACTCCCGTCAAGTTACAATTCTGAGTATGCAAGAGAAGAAATCTAGAGTATGTCTATAATACCAAGTTTTGTTGAATAAGGTTATGTCAACACTCAAAAGTTGACTAAACAAAAATTGCCAGTGTGTGTTCACACTTGCTTCTTCTGGGGGCCCTATCATCGACAATGTGAGTAATGCACTGTGGGTATGTGTCCCACAGATCAGTGTTGTGGCAAGGAAGAGCTGATCCCTGCGTTTCTTAGGATTCCTGCCAAGTTCTCTCTCAGCCTTCTCAACAGCTGGGAGTGGCATCATGAGTAGCTCTGTGAGCTCTCTGTGCTAAGGAATGTCAAAGCAGCACAGTGTCTGTCCTTTTCCCGGTGCAGTGGCAGTGTGCGTGCCACTGTTTCTAGTGCGCGGCAGAACAGAAGCAGTCCAATCATTTGTTCTTTGTTCCTTCCCCAAACAGAACAGCTCACTCAGCTGTCAGATACATCCCATAGCTTTGAAAAGAGAAGGGTGCATGCTTGCAGGGCAGCACAGATCAAAACACTGAGCAGAGCCATCAGGGCAGGTATTGTGGGACACTAGCATCAGCCAGTTCTGTCTACAAAACAAACAGCAGAGTCTACACAGGCTGTTTGTCAACAATAAAGGGAGGGGAAAAGAAAAAAGTCTTTCATAGAGGTGGAAGTTTTCTGTTGCTGAAACTGTGTTTTTCCTAACAAAAGTTGCATTGTGGTGTGACTGTTCGCACTTTTTTGTTGCGAAAAGGCAGTTTTTTGTAATAAAACTTGCTAGTGAAGACATACCCCTATATTAGTGTTCTTGCCTCTTGTTGTTTGATATCACAGTTATCTTTATGGCAACCATTGTGATATCCAAAAGAATTATGATTTATGTGAGGAATAAGCAGTGGGACCTGATGAACAATTCTGCTTTCCTGATAATATTCTTCTTAAAGAATGAGGGAAGACAAATCAAGCATAGGCAGAAAGGTTTTTAAATTGAATGCACAGTATGTCAGTGCTTTCCATGAGCAATCAGCAGCTCTTTTACATTTTGATTGAATATAGTGAATTTAATTTTTTTGTGAATGTGAGGTACAGGCTTGATTCAGGCATAAAGCATAGAGAAGCTGTGCATTTAAGCTTCTTACAGTCAATTCTGCCAATGCACTTCAATTCTGTCCTCACCTCATCCTACTACAGTCTGGCTACGTCTACACTGGCCCCTTTTCCGGAAGGGGCATGTTAATTTCAGCGATCGTAATAGGGAAATGCGCGGGGGATTTAAATATCCCCCGCGGCATTTAAATAAAAATGTCCGCCGCTTTTTTCTGGCTTTTAGAAAAGCCGGAAAAGAGTGTCTACACTGGCCCCGATCCTCTGGAAAAAGCGCCCTTTTCCGGAGGATCTTATTCCTACTTTGAAGACTTCCAGTTGCACTAAATTGTGTCTTTGGGGGTTGTATTGTCATAAAAAGGACAACTAGAATATTTCTCCCAACCTCACTCTTTACTTGAGTTAGATTTAATTCCTGGTTTTCAGAGGTAAAATACTGGAAGGCTGACAACACTTTGTTGCCCAGACTTTATTGTGAATTGTTCATTTTTACTTGCCTAGTTTAAAGTTACTTTTTCTTTACTTCATATCTGAAATTGTTGTGTGATTCAATTTATTTTAGATCCAAGGGAAACCAGAACACTCCAGGAATACTTAACCACTTTCTTATTTATTGCAAGCTTTAAGCAGTTAATACAGTTGTTTAAGTTTTACAAGCCTTAGAAACAATTGCTATACAATTTAAACTTTAAATACTATAAATTCTAAAGCAATTAATACAGCGCAAACCAATGCAAAAGCAATTAATAGAAGAACTACTATAATACAATAATAAAGCCTAGTTCACTTGCACTTTACTTGTATGCTACCTACAATACCAGGCAGGAGGTCCTGGTTCCTTTTCTTCCCACACAGTGGAATGTCATGCACTAGGTCACCGGTGTGAATGGCCTACTTACTTCTAGTTACATCAAGCAGGACCTGTGGGTCAGTCCTGCGCATTCCCTCCCATTGATTGTTCTTACTAATCCCATTTTATAATATTTACCAACTGATTACGTATTGTGTAGGATATGTAAAATGTCCAGTGTGCTATTTGGAGCACATCCTGTCACCCAGGATGTTGCTGCTACGTGCATAGTTGACAGTTGTATGGCTGCATCTGTAACTTTTGCTTATCAGAAACAGAAGTACCAGTACAAGGTGCTTGTTGTGTGTTCTTGACGTGGTCTCGCGTACCATGCTTAATCTGCATTGGTATTCAAAACATTCCTTCCTCTCACAGCTTCTCCCTCCCAAGCCATGCCTGTGTGCTATGTGCACCAGACTTGAGACCGGCCTGGGTTTTGTTTTTTAGCGATCTGCACTTTGGACAAGGCAGACATCACCATTTATTGTCAAGGCAGGGTAGTCTAGGCTCCCCTACATCATACTAGATATCAGAAAACTCAACAAGTACATAACATATCAAAGGTTCAAGATGGGTCACATTAGCAACCATCATACCAGCGTTAGACAGTGGAGATTAGTTCTTAGCCCTCAACCTCCAAGATGCCTATTTGCATATAACTGTTCACTCAGGATACAGATGTTTCCTACGTTTTACAGTAGGAACCAACCATTACCAATATTGAGTCCTTCCATTTGGCTTATCAATGGCACCGAGAGTCTTCTAAAAAACACTGGCTGTAGTAGTAGTAAATCTCTGCCATATAGGGGTGATAATCTTTCCCTGTTTGGATGACTGCTTTATCAAAGGCATGTCATATCAAGATGCCAAGGACATGGTCAACAAGACTATAGCTCTTATCACTCAGCCTTGGATTCCATATCGACTATCAGAAATCCACATTGCAGCTTACACAGGCTGTCGAGTTCTTAGGGGCTCAGTTATACTCCATCACAACCAGAGTGACACTACCCAAACACAGGTTCAAGTCCCTCTTTACCCTCATAAACATAGTGCAGGCTTTTCCAGTTACAACACTATGCAGCTGTTTCCCCAAATATTTGATCACGTGGGTGGTCACAATGTATGTGGTGAGAGACTAGCCAAACTCCATGTGAGGGTCCTTCAAGCATGGCTGGCCATTGTTTACATCCCTTCCAGGGACTCTCTACACAAGTCTGTCAACATACCACACCACGTCCTAATGTCACTACACTGGTGGACATCACCGCACAACATGATAGAGGGTGTTCCGTTTCAACAGCCATCCCCGACAATTACCATAATGACAGAAGCTTCCCTTATGTGGTCTGAGAAGCACACCTGGATTCCCATACAGCACAGGGCAAATGGTCCTATCACAAGCGGTCCCTCCATATTAACCTCCTGGAGTTAAGAGCAGTATGGTATGCATGCCTTCATTTACTTCCACACATCGAAAACAAGACCATCCAGATCCTAACTGACAACATCCTATCCTAACAACCTAGGGTCATGGGTTCTAGTCCCCACCTGCCCAGGCAGCAGCCACCAGCTTCCCCAGGCCTACCACAACTCGCAGATGGTTAAGTACAACAACCAAGAGTTAAACATGACTCCCAGGGTTAAACATCAATCGACAGTGAGAAGCATGGTCTAATTCCCTTTGCACCAAGGCAATGAAACTTTGGAACTGGTGCATATGATGCCAGAGTACCCCTACAGCAACCTACGTAACAGGTATCAGAGGGGTAGCCGTGTTAGTCTGAATCTGCAAAAGAGACGAGGAGTCCTGTGGCACCTTATAGACTAACTGAAGTGTTGGAGCATAAGCTTTTGTGGGCAAAGACCCACTTCGTCAGATGCATGTAGTGGAAATTTCCAGAGGCAGGTATAAATATGCAGGCCAGAATATCTCTAGAAGCGATCCTTGCAATTATAGACCGATAAGTCAAACATCAGTATCGGGCAAATTAGTTGAAACTATAGTAAAGAATACAATTGTCAGACACACAGATGAATATAATTTGTTGGGAGAAAGTCAACGTGGTTTCTGTAAAGAGAAATCATGCTGTACTAATCTGCTAAAGTTCTTTGGAGGGTATCAACAAACATTCGGACAAGGGGAATCCAGTGGATATAGTATACTTAGATTTTCAGAAAGCCTTTGACAAAGTCCCTCACCAAAGGCTCATAAGTAAAGTAAGTTGTCATGGGAGAAGAGGGAAGGTCCTTTTGTGCATTGATAACTGGTTTAAAGATAGGAAACAAAAGGTAGGAATAAATGGTAAGTTTTACAAGTGAAGAGAGGTAACTAGTGGGGTCCCCCCAAGGGTTTGTCCTGGGACCCATCCTATTCAACTTATTTATAAATGATGTAGAGAACGAGGTTAACAGTGAGGTGGCAAAATTTGCAGATGATACCAAACTGCTCAAGATAGTTAAGACCAAAGCAGACTGTGAAGCGCTTCAAAAAGATCTCATCAAACTAAGTGATTGGGCAATAAAATGGCAAATGAAATTTAATGTTGTTAAATATAAAGTAATGCACATTGGAAAACATAGTCCCAACTATACATACAATATGATGGGGACTAATTTGGCTACAACTAATCAAGAGAGAGCTCTTGCTGTCATTGTGAATAGTTCTTTGAAAACATCCACTCAGTGTGCAGCAGCAGTCAAAAAAGCAAATAGAATGTTAGGAGTAATTAAAAAAGGGATAGAGAATAAGACAGAAAATATCTTATTGCCTCTACATAAAACCACGGTATGCCCACATCTT